CCCGCGCTCAGAGGGGCTGCGCTCGGTGACTCCGCCAAAGCAGAGCTGAACCAAGGGTTTTACAGAGAGCAGAAGCCGGCCCTGGACTGTWGAGATCTGATCTGAGCAGTAAAAATATCCAATTATCTGCCTGGCTGAGATCCCATTTGTTTACATCCCACAAATGTGAGCAGTGAGGGAGCTGCGAGCGGTTGTTGGAGCGGCGCAGGTTCAGCCAGCGAAGGGCAGGTGTATTTGCCTGCGTGGCAAGTGGTGTTTAACGATGCTAATGTGACTCTGAGAGCTGGCTGGCCTGTGCCACGCTGCTGCTCGCCAGAGAGTCTTCAGGCACACTGAAAAAAACCCCAAATCTATTAATCTTTCCTCGTTCACACCTAAGATAAAGGCAAACAGCACTCGCGCCTGTCGCAGCGGGGCTTGCTCCGAGGCTGTATTGTTTGGGAAATGCTGCTGCTGCCGATTCCCCCAGACCTGCCCATCCTTTAGAGAAGTGTCAGCCACAGAAACACGTCATGTGGCTGCTGCAGCACGGTCTGGCTCACTGCAGGGAAGATAAATGCCTTGTAGCATGGGTTGCCTGTGCATTATGAACAGCAGCTCTGTGTAGGACAGCGGTTCCCCTCGCTTTCTACCTTTGTCTTGTATGTTAAGTACAATGGGTGCCAGGAATGCTGTGCAGACATCTGAGAACAAAAAAAAAATATTTTCTGTAACGTACTGTGGCATCATTTTCATCCTTTGCCTTTATGAAGATGTTGTAGCTCTACTATCTTTGGTGAGTGAATCTYCTCAAATCCAGCACTTAATTAATCTATTTGTACTTTTCCTGTGTTGTCTGCCTGCCTCTCTCACTCATCTACACTCACACAAATGAATTGTAGATTTGTAGTGCTTTCTTAACTTAAAAATCTTTGATGTCACATGGAATCAAAGTCAGGCTTCAACAGGGACATCTTTATTTAAAAGGTAATGTTTGAAGGTTTACTAATTTATATGTATTTCCGAGCTCCCCCCTCGTGTGCTTTTGCAGAGCATCAGATGGTAGGTGGTCTGCTTGGTTTCCGTGGAGACACAAAAGGGCTTTTCAAAGTAATGAAAATCTCCAGCTCTTTGAGGCTTTGAAGCACAGGCCACGTCTTTCGCTGAGGTTTCACACCAGATCAGCCAGTGAGAAAGTTTGGGGCAGTGGGTGCAGTTTCCCATGCCAGGGGTGGGTGTGGAAGGGGCACAGGGGCTGTGCCACCTCAGGGTGTCCCTGCTGCTCACAGCAGCCCACTGTCCTGGCCATGGCCCCTCCAGGGTGCTGGGGAGGAGCAGAAGGGTCTCAAAGGCAGCCAGAAATGCAGCTCTTCAGAGTCACAGAATGGCTTGGGTTGGGTTGGGTTGGGTTGGGTTGGGTTGGAAGGGACCTTAAAGATCACCCAGTTCCACCCCCCTGCCGTGGGCAGGGACACCTTCCACTATCCCAGGTTGCTCCAAACCCCTTGGACACTCCAGCCTGGCCTTGGGCACTGCCAGGGATCCAGGGGCAGTCCCAGCTTCTCTGGGCACCCTGTGCCAGGGCCTCCCCACCCTCACAGGGAACAATTCATCCCTAATATCTAAATCTCATCTCTCTTCTTTCAGTTTAAACCATCCTCCCTTGTCCTATCCCTACGTGTCTGTGTAGAAAGTCACTCTCCCTCTCTTTTRTGTCCTATCACTGTTTGCCCATGTAAAAAGTTCCTCTTTTTTGTGAGTCCCCTTTATGAACTGGAAGGGGCTGTGAGATCTTTGCAGAGCCTTGTCCAGGATGAGCAATCCCAGCTCTCTCAGCCTGTCTTGATAGGAGCCATCCTTCTTCCATCCCTCTTGCCTGGGGACTGCATTCCAAGGGTGTTGGAGCTGCTCAGGCTTGGGGGAAATGGGAGCAGCTCAGCCCTTGGCTCCTTCCAGCAGTGCCTGTGTTTGCAGGGCTGTCAGGGATGTTTGATTGTATCACATTTCCTCGAAGCTGCATGAACTTGCACCCAGAATCACTGGTTTATTTTTAAAAATAAGAATGCATCATCATGATTAAAAGAAATTCCTGTTTCTGGGAACACTTTTGTTTTTAAGTGATTAGGATTTGGCTTATAACCTAAAAAAATGGGGTTTAGGTCTTGTGTAACTTCAAAATAAGGTAGTACGACTTTGAAGAGCCAGATCCTAGAAACAGCTCATTAAATGTATTTTTTTTATGTTTTACTTCACAATCACAGGCAGGACCTGCCTGCAGGTGTGGTGGGCTGGGTGCTGTGTTTTGGGGTGATGAATAGGAGGTTTCCCCCACACTCCCCACCCCATCTCTCCATGCTCAGGGTACCCCTGGGTGCTGTGGAGGGCAGGCACCTCCCGTCCCCATTGGTGTCAGGGGCCACCTTGTCCCACCCAGTCGGTGACAGCCGTGTTTCCCCAGCAGCTCCACGTTCAAGGACTTGGAGGGGAACAGTCTGAAGGACAGTGGGCACGAGGAGAGCGACCAGACGGACAGCGAGCACGACGTGCAGCGGGGCCTCTACTGCGACACGGCCGTCAACGATGTGCTCAACACCAGCGTCCCCTCCATGGGCTCCCAGGGCCCCGAGCAAGGTGAGACTCTGTGTGCCCTGGGGTGCCCACTGCCCCCCGTGCCCCGTGGGTGTGTGTGAGGGTGCCTGGTGCTGCCTGGGATCGTGCTGTACATGGGCACCGTGCTGGCTCGGTGTAAATTAATCTGCACTCCTCGCCTGTCAGGTAAGCCAGCAGTTGGGATTATCCTGTGTTCACAGGCACAAAAGCCAAAGCCCTGAGCACAGCCTGACAGCGAGCAGGCAGCAGGGCTGGGATTAGGGCAGGAATGGGGGCTCTGTGCCCAGGGCTGGTCCATGCCCATGTCCCCTCCACAGCCCCATGGTGTGTGCCCCTCCTGCGCCCTGTCCCAGCTCTGCAGCTCCTACACCCAGGCAGCTGCTGCAGAAGGTCAGCAGAGCATGTAGGCAATTAGTCAGGCATCCCACGGGGGATTAGCTCGGCTGGTGGGTGAGGGTTTGCATCTTTTCCCTGCACAGGTGGCAGGTTTCATCTCCCATTGCCCCCACGCACAGGGATGGAGCCCTGCTCTGAAATCAGACTGGTATTAGCTGGAGGAAGCAAGTCAGAGGAGTTCAGCTGAGCCCGAGTGTCGTTTGTACTTGGGCATGAATGTCGCTTTTAATGTCTGAGGGATGCAAACATCCTATGCAAACATCCTGTCTTTTTCAATTAAGAAGCCCGAGTGTGGCTCGGTGCTCGGCGCAGGGGAGCCTCGGGGCACTTGGCTATATCTTGAGATAAGCTGTAGCTGAGGCTCAACTGGAAGCCCCACTGCTAAAAGACTTAAGGATATGAAAACAAAATGCTGTGATTATGAACTGGTCTTCAGCTGTTTAATTCAATTCATGGTAAACATCATTAAAAGCCTTTGTTTTGCTGTCATAAAAGAGTCAAACGGGGGAGAGAGAGTTCTTGCCATCTGCGCCACCGAGTGTGGGCTTTTTTTCTGAGAGAATCTGATCGCTGTATTAATTCTCGATAGAGTCTGTTAAATGGCCGTGGTTAACCCTGTAAGACTCCACGAGGAGGGGAACACAGAGGTCACCTACACATTCCACGCCGCCAGCCACTCTAATTGGAGAGGGATGGCATCCGCAGCGATAATGTATTTCCAGACAGCCCTACTGTGGCCAAAGATGAAAAAAATTAAACATTTATATAACTGTACAGTGGCAGTTTAATTCTCTGCGGACCAGCACCGTGTCAGAGAATGCAGGCTGATAGCTATCATTTATTATTCTTCTATTACAAAGAAATGCTTTTTCATTTCGATCAGGAGAGGGTTTCCTGAGATGCGTTTGTAGTAAGGGATGACCGTACGAGCAAAAATGTTCATAATTGATTCCCATCCTGGTGAATGGTCTGAGCAACATCTGCTAATTTTTTGTCACATTTCTTCAGCAGAAACCCAATCTCARTGGACTGCAGATAGGGTTTTACAGGGATTACATTTCTGATAAGTCTGCRTGCTGGCTCTGATAACAATGCAAATAAGTTAAAGAGGCTGAGTTGGAGGYAGAGCTCATCAGAGGAGTCACATGGAAGTAAATATGGTTCAGTCCACTGTAGCATTCCTCACTGCATGTAAAATACACTCCAAAAATCAAATATATTTCCAGAAGGTGACTTCTGAAGGCAATCTCTGTCTGTCTCCCAGTCCTGCAGTGGCCGAGGGGATGGCACTCCTGGGTCTGGTTTATTTTTATTTTATTTTTTTTTGCAGCCTTCCCGCTGCACCTGCAGGGAGGTGCCACAATCAGCTCTCTCGTCCTGTGGGACCCCCTCTGTCTTGTGTGGAAGGGGTGTGTTACTGTCACAGAATCTGAAAAAAAGGTTAAAGAGAGTGTTCCCTGAGCTGATTTGTCAAACAGGAACTGCAGAAAATAATCAGGSAAATCAAGACACTAAGATGATGGTGATAACAGCAGTTCCCACATGATTAAAATGATGATTTTGGCTTGGTAATTTTTGCTCAATTTTGGGGCAGAGTGGTAGGATGGAGAGGAAATACAAGAAATTCAGTGACAAGGATATGCAGGACATTGGCTGACCATGGCTCCAAACMCACAGTTCTCATCTGAAGAGCAGCCTGGCAGCTCATGTACCCAAGCTTTGCTTTTGCTTGTTCTTCCTGCCCAAACTGCATCTCATGTAATCCCAAGGAAATGGGGTGGGGAGTTGTTGGAGTTGGTTTGTTGATGGTAACGATCTCCTCACTGGAAGCCCAGTGTGGTCTCCTCATGGCCAATCTCTGCTGGGCTTGGACCTCAGCTCGTCACATCACCAGTCCTTCATGAGTGGCCATCTCTCAAACTCTGTCCCAATAATTTGTGAGTGTTTRTCTGCTCGGTGGRTAACCCTGGATCTGCCAAGGCAGAYGCTGGTTKGCAGAAATCCTTGTAGCTGGGTAGYRGAGGATCATCYCTCTGTGGTGGCTCAGGGTGGTCAGCRTGGACCTGTCTGGCCAGCCTTTGCCTGCTGAGATGCTGAATTTCCTGCAGAGGGAGGGAGGCTTGGATAGCTCCAAGCTCCTTTTCCTCCTTAACTGGTGTGTTAAGTGAGTGCTTGGGCGTGGAAACCCCAGGGAGCTGCTGGTGTTTGGCTTTCCTGGTGCCACTCTTGGGTGGGAGTGMCACCAGCTGCCAGTCCCGCTGGCAGGAGCCCTTTCTCATCCTTTGGAAATGACCTAGATTTCCAGAAAAATGGCAAACCACAACGTGGAGAGTGTTGAGCTTTAGTGGGTAGCAGCAGGTCATCAGAAATACTGCCTGGAGCTCAGCCACATTGCGTATTTTGGGAGCAGGACTTCTGCCCAGTCCCTCTTTACCTCAGGATTTTAATTATTGATTATAAATTCATCTGATGAAAAGATGGCTTTAATTGCTCTAATRTGTACCCAATTTGGAGTTCATTATCGCCCAGGATTGTTTTCCTTCCCCTGTTAATTGACACCAAATGGGATGCAGAGGAAGGCGGGCCCTGGTGCTGTTCCACCTCCTGTGATTTCCTCGCTGCCATTTCATCATTTGTGTATTTATTTGTGGAGGTGTTGAGCACTGCTGGAARTTCAATGTGCTCTCTTCCTAATGACATCCTCAGCTCAACTTCCAAACGGATTTGTTTGAGGASGGGGTGTTTTCAATCGGATCTCAGCGATGTTGTGGGATGGCTGGAGAATTCTGCTGCAGGATGGGGGTAAATCCTGGGGTCCCCTTGGTGTCTTGGCCTATTTCACTGTGAGATGGGGTGGATTTTCTCCATGTCCTGGGTAACTGTGGCTCTAAGTTCAGCCCTGGAGGAAGCCCTGATGTCCAGGAGGAGCTGGGCAGGGACCCAGGGCCACGCTGGTGCTGGGGACAGTTCTGGGGGATGGTGACATTTGCGGGAGCTCTGCCCTCAGTTCCTGACACCTGCTCCTCCCAGCAGCACGGGGAGATCTCAGCATGAAATGTTTTCCAACACTGCACTCAGTGCTGGTGGTTTTCCCGGGAAATGGCACCGCGGACCAGATGTTTCACAGGGTAATTGAAAATTCCATTTTATCAGAAAGCGTTTGCTGTCAAAAAGTTTTATCTTTACTTCAACAAAGAGGTTGATTAGATCCCTCAGGACCYGAATTAGCATCTTTGAGGCTAGATACTCTCTTTTGTGATTCAGGTAGTTGTTCCTCCCTTGGTTTTGCTCACACTGGTTCTTTTTTCTTTAAATCCCTTTGCCCTCTTCCAAACGTGGTGTTTGTGCAGGTTTGGTTTGTTTTCTTTGTGTGGATGTGCACGAGCACCTCGATCTGCTTAAATGTATTCCACTGCCTTTTTCACCTTGCCTTGAGCGAGAGCCATTCTTGTACTCTATAAGTCATAGGAGCTCTTGCCAGCATAAAAATCAGAAAGGAAATATTTCAAATATAAGTTTTTAATGTTAGAAGCAACAGATTTCACACTTATCTTAATTCCCAGTGCTGGCCAGTATTTTAACCATCARTTGTAGAAAGAAAATCGTTGGTCCAATGAAGCAGTGATTCACTGTTTAAGATAGAAATAGAAAATACAAAAATAATAAGCACACACTAATCATAAAAAAGGCAGTGTTAGAAATAGTCACCRCAGCCATAAAATAGAGAAAAAGCTTTAAAATCAAAATGAGAGGGTTTTAAGCAATGTCAGTAATGGATCTCTACAGAGAATTGCTTCTAAAAGCATCACTTCCACTTTTCTGGTGCCAGATCAGCAGTAAAGGTTCGTGTGAAATGTCATCTGGAAAGACCTGATCCYGCATACATTTCCACATCTGTGTAACTTTGCTCACAGGGGAGATTTAATTGTGTCTGAGTCCCATAAACTCCAGCAAGATGAAGGGTTCTTTGAATAGAAATGGGTTATATTTAAATAGTTACGTTMAGTCTTCTTTCTACTATCACACAGTATAGAATTAAGATTTGGATGTAAAGGAGAAACGGGCACATGATATTCACTGAAAACTTTTCTTGCTGGTTGCATCCCARATTATTCAGATATATCATCATTTAGGGGATCAAGTTTTATCTAGAATATTCCAACTGGTTATTATGCTCATCTCCATAGTATCTGGGTGTATTTCAGTTGTGAATTGAGAACATGACTAATGGTATTAACTGGAGGCAAACACAGGTATTAGAAACTGTTGATTTTTTTAAGCTGATTTGCAGCAGTCGTTCTACCTGCAACCCCTTTTTACTCTGCAGAAAAGCCTTTCTGTGGAGCTGCATGTKCATGAAGACCTGAGTGACATATTCCAGGGCTTTGAAGGCTGCATTTCTCTGGAAATTTCTACAAATTAATAACAGTACCTGCTTTCTTGTCTTCATCTACGCGGCACAAGACATAAAGTATAAAGTTCGTGTGTGAGTGRCAGCACATCCCTTAAGATGGATAAATGCTGTAAGCTTTCTTTACAGGGCCATGTCAATTATTACAGCTCCTCTGATTTCGGTATTATTGCACAGCTCTCTGCCAAAGCAGCCTCACTGAGCTCAGTGCTGC